GGAGTTTGCAACCAGAAAAACAGGACTTGGAAGGGGCCACAGAAGTTATGAGTGAAAAGCACTGTGGCCAGAGCACACGGGGCGTGGCATGCGGGGCCCACAGGCGTCGTAAGGGAGCCTGACATGACCCTCGGACACGGCCAAGTCCGCGGCTCCCTCGAGTCATGAAGCTGTCAACACGCGACACCCAGAGCTCAGGGAGAGGTCGGCTTCTGCGACAGAGTGTGGACGGAAGGCCTCGGGGCAGAAGGAGCCTGGTTTCCTTCCATCTGGGAGCTGCTCAAGGATGATGAGTGAGGGTGGGACCTCTCAGAGCCTCAGCTCCCGCCTGCGAGACAAGGCCATGCTCCCCTCCCACCCCCCACCCCCCGTTGGCCGCTGGGCGCTACCCTGTTCCTCTTTGCCCCACGCTGCCCTCCGGCCTGCACTGCACTGAGCCCGGTGCACGCGCATCCGCCTGTCTGACCCTGTGTCACCTGGGCCAGTGGCACAACCTCACAGCCCTGCTGACGCCCACCTGCCTCCGGGGGGGCAGCTAAGGAGCTCCGGGGTAAGCCAGGCCCTCCGCAGTCGAGGGAAATGGTCACCACGGTGACGTGCAGCCGGTCAGCCGTCCAGGAGAACGGAGGGCGTTTGCGAGCCCACGCCCACGCCCACGCTGCCACGGACCCCTCGGTGATGTGAGCTGTCACCCCTCATCCCGGTCAGCACACGGTGGGCCTCTTGGGTTGCTTCTGCCACGCTGCCCGGCAGCAGCCTGTTTGAGTGATGTGTGCTGGGGTCCAGACTGAGCCTCCATCACGCTCACGGCTGTCTGCCTCTCAGGCACTCAGTCCCACACCCTGTGCCCGGACCTGGCCCTGACCTCTACCTGCCCGCAGCCACCAAATACTGACTGAACACGGGACAGAGAAAGCCACGGAACTGGAAACACGTGCCCAGGCGGGAAGCACACACAGCCCAGGTGCCCGCGGGTGGAGCAGCGCCACTCATGCCCCTCCCGGTGGCACCGTGTCAGGGGCTCTGCTGGCAGCCAGGTTCCCCTTACTGAAACTCCTCCTCTTTAGCAAGTGGTGCTGGGGGTACAGGGAGCCCGGCAGCCCGGCAAGGGGGCAGTTTGGTTGAGGGGGGCTGACAAGCTCTGACCGACATCTCCCCACTGGCCTCCCGAGGCCCAGCTCCCACCACGGGAACCCGTGAGGCTGCCTGTGAGCAAAGACCTCGCATGTGTCTTCAGCTCAAATTGACTGAAAGCAGCCGGGCCGAGGGCACAGCAGGTCTCCTCTGTGCGAAGGGGGCTGGGAGGAAGCTGCAGGGATGAGAACATTGGGTGGGGCAGGACAGGGTAGCACTGAGCCTGGGAGCAGGGAGAGGTCCTCCCCGGGGGCAGTGTGTGTGTGTGCGGGGGCATCCTGGGTCTTGGGGATCAGAGGGTGGGGGCTGTGGACAAGCGAGATGCAATGTGACAATTTCTTAGATGAAATGTATGGGGTGACATTGGTTAAGCAACAGGACACATTTGAAAGCTCTTCACCTTGAGGAAGTCTGACCTGGAACCAGCTCTCTGTGAAGATGAAATGGAAGTGCATTGGCTGTGGAAGGGCAGCCCGGCCACAGTGGCTCAGTGGTTGAGCGTTGACCTATGAACCCGGAGGTTACAGTTCAATTCCCGGTCAGAGCACATGCAGGCTTGATCCCCTGTGTGGGGTGAGAAGGAGGCAGCCGATCCATGATTCTCTCTCATCACTGATGTCTCTCTCTCTCTCTCTCTCTCTCTCTCTCCCCCTTCCTCTCTAAAATCAATAAAAATCTATATATATAAAAGCCTAAGCCAGTGCCAACCAAACTTGCGGCTCAGAAAACCTTTTCATTTGTGGAAGAGCCACACTCAAGGGGTTTGCCAACCACGGGCCTAAATGACTGTTACCATCGGTCGACCAAATGACTGGTTGCTATGATGCACACTGACCACCAGGGGGGCAGATGCGAAATGCAGGAGCTGCCCCCTGGTGGTTAGTACGCTCCCACAGCCAACTTCCCGTGGTCCCACCCCCTGGCGGGCCCCAATAGGCCCTGATTGCCGTCCAGGCCGAGGGACCCCACCCATGCACAAATTCGTGCACTGGGCCTCCAGTATAAAATACAATGGAAGTGCACGGGCTTTCAGGATGGATTTGAAACTGAACGTGCTCACTAACACCCATCTCGCTCTGGCTAAGACATGGCCTCCGGGGCACGAAGCCCACAAACAGTGCGTACCATCTCAACCTACAACGCAGCGACTGTCCTCCCCTTTTCCAGAACAAATAACAACTCAGAAACCAGGAAGCTATTAGAAATAGGTATACATGAGCTTAAAAATCAGGCAAAACAGCTTTAAGTAGAAAAAACAAACAAAACCAAGCAAGTTGATTCATTTTTAAAAACACGTAAAATATCTCCTTTTCATTTTGGAAACCAAAACCAACATAAGCATTTTAACCTGTGGAACCGAAAATAACCCAGAGCTGGAAACATACGAAGGTGACCAATAGGAAAGCTGTGGGTTGGCTGCTGAATATACTTTTATTGTTTACTGACTAAGGCGGCTGATTAGCTAAGGTTCCCCACCCTTTCCTTTAGTGTGAAACTTTCATTAAGTATCAGGCGTTTCTAAAACTACGACATGGAAGGTGTCCATGGCACCACGGGGTAGAAACGGAATCTCCATTTCACAGATGGGAAAACCAAGGCCTGAGAGACCAGACCAGCAGCTGCAGTCAACGCTAGAACAGCCTGGAAAGACCACTGAAGGGCCCGCGGAGGGGATTTTAACCGGGTGTCTCATCGGGACCTAATGAACACCTTCAACACAAACATTTGCTCCGAAGCAACTGTAGTAGCTTTGCTTAACCGTCCCCTCAGGATCAGACACCAAAACGTACCGCCTGTTTCAATCGCATATGAAGCCACTTCTCTCGCCAGCGGACACTGTCTTATAGTCCAGTGACTGCTCATTTGTGACGACCCTATTCCCCCCAAGGCTTGATGTAACAGCAAGAGAATGCCTAACGCATGCCAGGCCTGCGATGCCTCCCGCAGTCCCCCTCCAGCCCACACATTCATTCAGCGGACACCGAGTGCCCTGGGCCCCACACAGCCCTGGCTGCTGACCAACCAGACGACACGCAGGCCCTGGCGGAGCCCAGCAGGTACCAGGCAGGTAGACGGATGATAGAGGACAGACACCATCATGTGAATGTGTTCTTGTGGCTGTTCCTCCCACTAACCATCTCTTAACTATCTCCCTGGTCAGGAAGTTAAGCTCTGAATTTCAGCTGGCCACACATCCGCGCAGACGAAAGTCAACGTGACCAACCTCGCTCGGGCGATGTATGGCTCTTTGACGAATTCCCGCCAAAGGGCTTTGAGGGAAAGCAGTGTGAGCGGTGCCCGGCCGTGCTCTGAGGGAGGCAGTGTGCGTGGTTCCTTCCATTTCCTGCGGACTGAAGTGAGAACCCGTGGACCAGGGCTGGAGCCCCGTGGAGGCCCGAGGGGCCTGCATTTCAAGGACAAAGGCGCTAGTTAGAAGGTCACATCCATCACACCAGCCCTACATTGCTTCCCTCTGGACCAAGCTTGTGTGGGCAAGCAAATGTTGTTCTTGTACAATTCCCGGGTTCGGGGGTCTCTGTCCCTCCCATTTGACTTAAATCCGTCAAGTGGCCACTGGGAGCAAAGCTGTCATTTGTATGAGGTTGAAACGGGTGATGCGTGTGGGTGCCTGGCCAGCGGACTGACAGGGCAGGCGGCAGCTGGTGGTTTAAGCTTGCTTATTGCAGTCACTTCTAAGTGAATGTCTGCATTGAAGGTATCGATTAGGTTCCGATGAGAAACTGTTTTGCCAAAGCCAACAAACAAGGTAGACAACATACAGAGAACCATGAAGCAGAGACCGAGGGAGGCGCTGTGGCCTCCGGACAGGGGACTCGGGGCGGGCTCAGGAGGCAGGTGGGAGTCCTGGTGCACGAGAGCCATGTGGGGGCAGCTCCAGCGAGTGGGGGGCACAACAGCAGAAGCCCAGGAATGGGGCTCGCTGTGTCCCAGGACCAGCCGGAGGCACAGGGCCGCTTCTCACACCCTACATCCCCCCATTCCCCCCAGGAATCCAGACCCCAGCGCAGAGATGGGCCCACGTGCGTGCTCACTCCTCGCGGGTCTCTTCCAACAGCACGACCCGGTCAGGAGTCTCAGCGTCCACTCAGAACCGCCTATGGCTCGGCATCTACCGTCCATGTCAGCACACTCCCCACGTCTCTGTACGAACATTCCCCACTTCTCTCAGCCCAGCCAAGGGATGGTCTACTGGTCCACCCCATCACCTGCCTTCTTTATTTTTAAAATATTTTTTATTGATTTCAGGGAGGCAGGGAGAGGGAGAGAGATAGAAACATCAATGATGAGAGAGAATCATGGATCGGCTGCCTCCTGCACGCCCCCCACCAGGGATCGAGCCTGCAACCCCAGCATGTGCCCTGATTGGGATAGAACCATGACCTCCTGGGTCATAGGTCAATGCTCAACCACTGAGCAACACTGGCCGGTGCTTGCCTTCTACCTGACTCCCACAGCTATGACTGCCCACACTTTCTTTTTTTTTTTTTAATATATTTTATTACCGATGCTCTATCCACTGAGCCAAACCAGTTTCAGCCACCCTTTCATCTCAATTGCTGACAACGGGCCATTCTGTTCTAACCTGTGAGTGCCTCACCATCGCAACTAGGATGCAGCATGCAACCTTCATCGTACAGCTTTCACCACCCCGTTCGCTACTGTCCCCTCCAACAGAAGGTGCCCCAGAGCCCTGCCGTGGTCACCTCCTGCATCGCCTCACCCCGGAGCACAGCGCAGAGCCCTAATCTCCCGCTCCGCTCCCGCCAGGAAGCTCTGAGTGGCTGAGTGACGAGCTATATATAGCAGCTGATGTCAGCGGATGCCAGGACCTTCAGCAAGACGCAGTCCCCGGAGCTGAGCGAGGACCATGCCATCGTGGGCTCAGGGGTAGACCCTCGGCCCAGGAGCACCCCTACCCGGCCATCCCGGCCTCCCCTCCACCGGGCCGTCCTGCTGGGAAGCGCGGCCAAGGGCAAGGTGAGTGCACCGCCTCCTGTGTTCTCCCTCAGTTGTCACGGGCTCAGCACTGTGACTCACAAATGAGCCTTCTTCGCCCTAAAGGACAGCTGTCGATGCCAATTTTAAACCGTCCCCTGAAGCGTGCGGCCTGAGCTGCATCCTGTCCTCACTCTGCGGGCTGCGGCCCAGAGGGGCTGGGATGCTGGGGAGGGGGCAGCAGGGACACAGGGACAGAGGAACATGAGCCGGGAGAGCGGGAGGGGAGGGCAGCTCTGTCCCTATCCCCACCGCCTGGGGGTCCTTGTGCAGAGACAAGACCGAGCCCTGTGTCCCCTCTGTCCACTGTGACGCGGCCGTCCGGGCGACAGGCTGTGGCGTCGGCGGGGAAGGCGCAGGCAAAGCCTTCAGCGAGAGCAGGCAGTTCCTCCTAAGGGACAGAGACCCTCTCTAAAGGGAAGATGACGTGACACCCCCAGGGAGCCCTCTGCTGCTGCAACACGTTTGTTTCCACAGGGAACAGGCGATGCTGTCGCACAGCTCCATGGTGAGGCAGAGGAAGCAGCAGGCCGCCGCCATCATGAAGGAAATCCACAGACACGGTACCCTGAGCCCGTGTGGCGTGGACATAGTGAGGACACGGTGCCCTGTGCCCGTGTGGCGTGGACATAGTGAGGGACATGGTGCCCTGTGCCCCGTGTGGTGTGGACATAGTGAGGCACGGTGCCCTGTGCCCGTGTGGCGTGGACATAGTGAGGACACGGTGCCCTGTGCCCGTGTGGCGTGGACATAGTGAGGACACGGTGTCCTGAGCCCCGTGTGGCGTGGACATAGTGAGGGACACAGTACCTTGAGCCCCGTGTGGTATGGACACAGTGAGGGACACGGTGCCCTATGACCCGTGTGGCGTGGACATAGTGAGGGACATGGTGCCCTGAGCCCGTGTGGTGTGGATATAGTGAGGGACACAGTACCCTGTGCCCGTGTGGTGTGGACATAGTGAAGGACACGGTGACCTGAGCCCCATGTGGTGTGGACATAGTGAGGGACACGGTGCCCTATGACCCGTGTGGCGTGGACATAGTGAGGGACATGGTGCCCTGAGCCCGTGTGGTGTGGATATAGTGAGGGACACAGTACCCTGTGCCCGTGTGGTGTGGACATAGTGAGGGACACGGTGACCAGAGCCCCGTGTGGCGTGGACGTAGCTCAGCACTAAGGGGGACCCCCTGGCGTGTTCCCTACCCTGTGGCCGACCGTGCGCTCTCGGCGTGCCTGGGTCAGCGGTGCGGGGTGGAGCCGCCTTGGTCACTAAGCCTTTTGTAGTCCTGTCTCATCTGGAAGCTATTTCCAGAGGAACAGCTGCTGGGCAGGAATGAGCCAGCTGACAGCTGATGTGCCTTCTGCGGGGCTGGCCCCTGAGCAGCACCAGCCTCGACTCTCCCTTCCTTCTGGGCCGGCCTCCCAGTTGTCTCATTGTTCATTCCCCCCGCCCCCGGGGAAACCTTGATTTACTCTCCCGTGGGGCCCACAAATCATTCAAAATAGGCTCTATCTTCCCTTCTTTAAACAACAACAACAGGAGACGTGAAGTGGGGATTCACAGTCATTGCGAACCTCTTTAACCCTGAGCCCAGTCATCACCTTGAGTCATTAACTCAGCGAGATGTTTTGTGTTGGAAATGTTTTATTCACTGTTCCTGGGAACAGGCAAAGCTCTTGTCATCTCAGAGCCTATGATTCAAAACCCTTTTCAAGAGGAATGAGGGGCCAGGCGCCCTCGGCTCTCTCCTTCCCGTCAAGTCCCAGCGGGTGACTCCGAGGCTGATTGTCGTAAAGAAACCAGTTTTGTTCCTGGCGAAGGGGCGTGATGTTAAGGAGAGAGAGCCAGTCCCTTCAGGGCTGATCGGAGCCATTCCCGACAGACATGTGGTTTCTGCCGGAGGCTCCGCGGTTCCTGGACGAGAGCCTGACCTTCCCCATGAATGACCCTGAGACCCAGGCCTGAGGTCTGAGGGCAGAGGGGCCGGGAGCAGCGTGGTCACTCACCTTCCCTGAGGGAGCGGGGGGAGCCGGGGAGATGGTGAGATGGTGTCCCATAGCGGGTCTTGAGGTTGATGCTTTCCTGTTTCCTGGGAGACGCAGTGGGCCCACGGCCCCAGCTCCGTGCCATGCTCCACGATGGCCAACCAGCTCGGGAGAAAGTGAGGAGGATTCAGACTCGGATTCCAGAACTGAAAGCGCCCCGAAGTCCCCAGACACGCGTGCAGGCTTCCTTCGCGTATTTCCTGCCTCTGGGAGTTTACGTGACATGGTTTTTACCCGATCAATGCGGCAAAAATCCGATGGTCACTCGAGTTTGAGGCGAAATTGTTTACCTTAAAACTAGACCTGAGCTGTGTGATCATTTTCTCGTTGCATCATAGTCGTATGTCAGTGGACCCATTTCATGAACCCAGTCTAAATCTTATGTGGGCCCCACTCCATCAGTCCAGACATAGACCTGCAAGGGTAAGAAAATGTTATTTTTATAGCATAACTTCGGTGTTTATAAAATATTTAAAAAGTACAATTCTATCTTAAGGGGAGAAATCCTCAACAGTACCTTCTCAGCCCCAGGCCACATGAGTCTCCAAAGTCCCCCTCGGGGTCACGGGGGAGTCCCACCCCATAGTGGAGTCACAGGCTCTGCCCTTGTCCAGGGCTCCCGGGTGCCAGCTAGCAGGGACCCTCGCCATCTCGTCTCCCTGAGTCCCGCACACAGAGCAGCTCTGTGCGTAGGAGCAGCGTCAGCCACCTGCACTGGCTCCCGCGGGTGTGGTCTCTGGGACCTGGAGATCAGGGGGTGTCATTGTTTAGGGAAGCGGCATTGAGGCTCGGACGGCAGAGGATCTGTTCTGAGCACAGCCCTGCAGACTTCCAACCCTGCACAGCAGCTCAGAGCGGGTGACGCTAGGCTAGGCAAAGCATGCGGCTGTTTCCCTGCCAATGACAAGGCCAACCAGTCACACGGGCCCGGCCCGTCCTTATAAAAACGAACAGGAGGGCGTCCTTGAAGCCCCCTTCCCTGTGCCTCGGCTCTTTTTGTAGAATTATCGTCACATATTTTTTATATCCCTTCGCACCAATCACGGAGCCTGCGGGAGAATGGAAGGTGATCACGGGGTGCTACACGAGCCCCTTCTAAGCAGGAGGTGGCGGTTCGGTCCAGTTCTCGTAGTGGGGGAGACCTAGCAGGGGCGCCTCTGAGATCAGCAGTGGGAAAAGGTGAAAATAAAAAACCCAGAGGTTTACATCTGAGCCTTCACCCTCCTGAAGGAGAAGTATCCTCGAAGAGGAGTGCTCTTCACATAGACTGAACCACGGGAGACCGGACAGACCCGAGTAAGAGGCCGCTACTAGCCACACCCCCAACTGTGTCCTTGTGCGCCCGCTGTGCCTGGTGCCAAACCGCATCCGGACGCGGACGTGAAGATGCTGCACGCCCAGAGGATAACTGACAAGGGTGTCCCTGCCCAGGTACACTGTGTCCTGGGGTCGCCGTCAGCATCGAAGCAGCGAGCCCACGGAGCAGCCGCCCCGCGTTCTGTTGACATACACAGTGTCAGAGCCACGTTGCTCCCGTCCAAGTGCGGCTCTGAGACACACAGAACCGCCCGAGGGCCTGGCCAGCGTGTGCGCACGAGCTAGCTGTGGCCTGTTCTGCAGCGATCACCACCTTCCCCTGTCAGCACCTCTGCTGGGACTGGAAGACCGAGGACAAGATGGAGGGAGAGGCGCAGAGCACCCCTGGCTGCTGTCCGGAAGCAGCAGGGACTAGAAGTAAAACAGCCCCGAGAGGTGGGGGCCCATGTCCCTGATCATAGGCACAGACGTTGCCGACAGCTTCAGAAGCAGGGGGACCCGCCTGAGGCTGTTCTCCGCCTCCGGTTCCCTCCCCCGGGCTCTGCGAGGGCTTGTTTATTTTTTTTTTCCTCTTGGTATGTTTTCAGTTTTGTTCTTCTCCCCTCACAACCTGTGAGCCGCTTTCCTAGCATGCGGAAGAGGACTGGGCGGACCGCTGAGATTTCAGGAAAAGGGCTTGGTTTGTGCATGCGGGAGGCCTCGTCCACATGGGGTGCTGCGGTCAGTAGGGTCCCAGGAGCCCTAGGGTCCAGACCACACATCAGAGTCCTCGCCCGAAAATGAGGAGGCTGGGCGTGCTGACACGTCGGATGCTCGGTTCCTGTCACTGTTTACGGAGCCGTGTGCCGAAGCAAACATCGTGTTTGGAGTACTTCCACCAATAACCGAGGCGATGCCAATATTGACACGGACTGCAGGGTGCTTTGAAACGCACGGAGCACAGCATCTGGAATTTCAGGTGGAAGGCTGTGTGAAGACCCTGTTCCTGTCTAAGCAGATCTTAAACTGTAGTTGATCAAGTCGTCATTATTAACACCAGCACAGCAGGACGGCCTTCAAGGCCACAGATCAGAAAGCCCAGGGCAGAAAAATAACTTGACCTGATGCCTGAGTGCACAAGTCTGTTCGTTTTCTTTGGTTTAACATTTCTCATACCCCCCCCAAAAAAAGATGTTTTATTTTGAAAATCAGTGTAGTTTCTGGCAAGTGTTTAATTGAAGCCACACGATTCCTTACCCAGTGTCTCTGTTGCCCATGCTATGAACAGCAGCACTAAATGATTCTGTTTGTGGAATTCAATCTGTGTCCTGTAATACCTTGGTAATATCATTTCTTCAATGTTTATAGCTTTACACAGCTATTAGGAGATAATATTTGTCTTAACATTTTTGAGAACTTTATTGCTTAGCACTCAAATCAAGGCAAAGAGATATAAAATAGGAAAATCAAAAAAGTTCCACATGTATTTCAATATCAACTTTTTAGTATAGAGAAAATTATTAATAAACTTTTAATCAATTGTAGGCATTATGCAAAATCACAGTCTGTACTATTATCTATACTAATAAAAGGGTAATATGCTAATTAGGCCAGATAGACCAGACATCTTCCAGCCGTCCTTCTGGACATCCTTCTGGACAAAGCCATGGTGGTGGAGCTGAGCAGAGGTGGTTAGGGGTGATCAGGCCGGCAGGAGAGAACAGTTAGGGGTGGTCAGGCTGGCAGGGGAGCCATTAGAGGTGATCAAGCAGGCGGGCAGAAGTGGTTAGGGGCGATCAGGCAGGCAGGTGAGCAGTTAGGAGCCAGCAGTCCGGAATTGCAAGAGGGATGTCCGACTGCTGGTTTAGGCCTGATGCAGGATTGGGCCTAAACCAGCAGTTGGACATCCCCTGAGGGGTCCTGGATTGAAGAAAGTATAGGCCAGGCTCAGGGACCACCCACTCCACATGGACGAATTTCATGCACTGGACCTCTAGTTTTTTATATAACACACTGTACTGGGCAGCAATGTATATTTCATGGGGTCATATTCAATCCACATGGCCACCCGCAGGCAGTCCTGTCGGGGGCAGAGGAAGTCTTGTGGCCTCAGTCAAGCTCCTCAGTGAGCCCCGGGTCCACCTGCAGCTGGGCATTTAGGTGGCTCCCCTCAGGGGTGTGCCCCCTCCACCGGAAGCACAGCTGCCAGGCATCATGGTAAATGTCTGTAAAGTACCTTTTTCTCTTACTCCCATTATTTGTAAGTGGATACCTTTACAAGGTGTGAATGGAATTCACCTACTGATCTTAAATTTGTCACTTTGGCAGGATCACAATTTCAAATTTAAAACACAGCACTTCTTGGGCACACGTAAATCGCTGTTAACTTAAGTTCAGAATATTAATCTATAAAACTAATATGAAAAAGAAAAGAATGTTTCCTTTTGGAGGAATTTAAGCCCAGTGTCTACACATTGAAGACAACACATTGAAGTAAGGTTTGAAAAAGGAGCTGATCACATTTTCACTGATGACTCCTATTCTCCCAATAAAACATGATTTTCCTTTTGGTTCCCAGCATTCAGAGCAGTGTGGCTCCACTGTATCAAATGTTTGTGTAAGATTTTAAATCATAACTACAAGAAGATTGTACATTTGAGGACATTACTGAGAAAGAGCATTGGTAACAATTATTTAGTATTTCTAGTAGATTAAAAATTGTGGATTTTTTGGTGGAAATTGATTTGATTATGGTCAAGACCCTAAAGTTATATGTTGATATCTATCCTTTCACAATTACATAGTTATTCAAAGATAATTTCTGATTTGCTTGAAAGAACAGTAAACTATAATAGATGAAGTCCCATCAAACGATTAAAGAATAAACAGAGAATTCTGCATCGGTGCCAATGACATCAGTAGGAAAGTACGCCCAGCGATATTATTTTCATTGGGTGACCTAATGCCACAGAGACAACCTTCTAATCCATCGGGTCAAGGATGTGCACCCTGACCGAACTGTATCATTTACCAGGCATCAGCTCACACAGGCGGCTAAGACCCTGCAGGGGTTTGTGGTAAAGGGCAGGGAACAGCTGAAGTGGACGCCCTGTGCCCAGCTGGCAGCCTTGCTCAGGCTGAGCGTTTAGGCAGTGAGAGTCCATACATTCGACTCTCCGCTCGCAGGCGGTCTGGCCCTGCTGGACACATCAGAGATTTAAGTATTGGAAGGGAAGGGAGGGGAAGAAAACCTTGGAGAACTTACTTTATGTCTTTTGTTGTTTGTGTATACAAAGTACATCGCCTGTGTTTAGGAGTATGCTAGGAACTACTTAACCACTGGTTCTTTTTTTTGGCGGGTGTGAGGGTGGGGGGAGGATGCCTTTGGTATAAATACTCCCTCCACGGACCATTTCAGTACCATCAGGGTCACTGCAGGCCGACCTGGGAAGAGATGTGCAGTAACAGGACATGGTATAGTTTCCACCTAACGGATACAGGAGTTCTAAGTACCCTCAAGGGCACAGTAACAGCAAAATGTAGTAGAAGATGTAGAAAGAGATCCTTCTGAGTCTTTATAGCTTTGTTTTTAATTTAGTTTTTCTAGTGATTAACTTTATGTAACTTAATTGTGACAACGGCTGTGCTCACGGAGTTTCTCTGCTGGCTCGCGCGTCCCTGAGAGCCGGCCCGTGGCTCCCGTGAGTGTGCGCCTTCGCCCACTGGCCCCTTCCACGCAGCCGCACACATCAGTCGTCCGTGTCTTTTCGTGGCTGGATGGCTCTTCATTAAGCTTTTATTTTGAGGTAACTGTAGTTTCACATGCAAACGCGAGAAATAACTCAGAGCTGCCCTGTGGACCTTCCCCCAGCACTCCCCCTAACCCCCGCAATGATAACGTCTCATAAAGGAGAGTCCTACACCACAGGCAGACCTGGCCCTGAGGTGGTTAAGACTCCTGCCCACCACTACTCCGCTCCGCTCACGTGTGTGTGTGTGTGTGTGTGTGTGTGTGTGTGTGTGTATTCTTTTCTTTTTCTCCCCTCCCCTCCCTTCCCTTTCCCTCCCTTCCTTTCCCTTCCCTATAATGCGATGTGAGTGGGATCATACAGCAAAGGCCTCTGGGGCTGCCTTTTGCACTCCATGCAACTCTCTGGCCATATACCCAGGTGTCGCATGTCCCAATAGCTTGTCCCTTTTTATTGCTGCCTGTCACGGTATGGATGGCCCAGTGTTTTTAACCATTTACCTATTGAAGTACATCTAGGTTCCTCCTGTTTCTGTTTTGTTTTGTTTTGTTTTCATTAAGAGTAAAGCTGGTGTGACCATTTGTATACAGGTTTTTGTGTAAACAGGAGTGTCACTGCACTGGGGTGAATGCCCCGAGCGCTGGTTGTTCTGTGTTGGGCTTTGAACAGAACCCACTCTGTTACTTTCCAAAGTGGCTGCACCATTATCCGTCCTGGCAGCAGAGTGTGAGGGATGAGCTTCCCGGCGCGCCCGGCGCCCTCCCAGCACGAGGTGTGGCTCTAGTCCCCACTCCAGCCCTCAGAGGCCTGTACGGTGATGTCTCCCTGCGTTTTAACTGTAATGTGAAGAAGGCCTTTGACGAGCTGTTCACGTGGTGTGGCACCTGCCCGTCTCTTCCGGGAGATGTCTTCCTTTCTCTTGCCCGCGCTCTCATTGCTCTAATTCAGTGGTTCTCAACCTTCTGGCCCTTTAATACAGTTCCTCATGTTGTGGTGACCCCCAATCATAAAATTATTTTCGTTGCTACTTCATAACTGTAATGTTGCTACTGTTATGAATTGTCATGTAAATGTCTGATATGCAGGATGGTCTTAGGCGACCCCTGTGGAAGGGTTGTTCGACCGCCAAAGGGGTCGCGACCCACAGGTTGAGAACCGCTGCGCTAATTGGATGGTTTGCCTTTTTACTGTGAGTTCTGAGATTCTTCACTCTATTCTACCTACTGTCCAACACACAGACAGCGTGTGTTTTGCAAATATTGTTTCCTACATTGTAGCTTGCTTCTTTTTCATCCTTTAACAGAATCCTTCTCAGAATAAAAGTTTGTAATTTTGATAAAGTCCCATTTCTCAGAGTTTTTTCTCTGGTGGACTGTGCTTTTGCTGTCAACTCAAACAACACTCTGTCCAGCCCTAGAGCCCAAAGGCACAGTCATGTGATTTTCCTATTGCGGGCTGTACAATCGATGATGGAAGGTAGGGATTGATACCTGACTATGGAACCAGTCTCGCATCCGTGGAATTATGTCCACATGTTGCTGAGCTCTACTGGCTGACACTTTGTGAAGGACCTTTGCTTTCATTGGCGTGAGGGACACTGGTCTGTGGCTTTCTGTGTGTCCTCCTTGTTGGGTTTGGGTGTCAGGGTCGTGTTAGCTTAACAACGAATTGGGAAGTGTTCCCTCTCCTTCCGCTTTCAGGCAGAGAATTCTCCAGTGAAGCCTTTTAGCTCTGAAGGCCTCGGGGCTGGGGCCTTGGGGGGGTCTTGTGGTTGGGGCCTTCGGGGTGCAGCCTTGGGGGTGTGGCCTTGGGGCTGGTGACGTGGGGCTGGGGCCTCAGGGCTGGGGCCTTGGGGCTGGAGCCTCAGGGCTGGGGCCTTGGGGCTGGAGCCTCAGGGCTGGGGCCTTGGGGCTGGAGCCTCAGGGCTGGGGCCTTGGGGCTGGAGCCTCAGGGCTGGGGCCTTGGGGCTGGAGCCTCAGGGCTGGGGCCTTGGGGCTGGAGCCTCAGGGCTGGGGCCTTGGGGCTGGAGCCTCAGGGCTGGGGCCTTGGGGCTGGAGCCTCAGGGCTGGGGCCTTGGGGCTGGAGCCTCAGGGCTGGGGCCTTGGGGCTGGAGCCTCAGGGCTGGGGCCTTGGGGCTGGAGCCTCAGGGCTGGGGCCTTGGGGCTGGAGCCTCAGGGCTGGGGCCTTGGGGCTGGAGCCTCAGGGCTGGGGCCTTGGGGCTGGGGCCTTGGGGTTGGGGCCTTGGGGCTGGAGCCTCAGGGCTGGGGCCTTGGGGCTGGACACCTCAGGGCTGGGTGCAGAATGAATAGAGTTTTGACAGAGACAGGGAAATGGAGTGGCACAGATGGAAGGGTTGGCACTCCAGTAGCAGGGACAGCTCAGATGGATCCATAGAACAGTGGGGAGCAACACGGAGCTCATTAGAGGACTCCAAGCAGCGCTGCTGAAACACTGAGTATGGGGAGACTGCATTCTACCACCAGCAATGACAGCTCACGTCCATCCCCTTTCTACGAGCCAAGTGCCATGTGAAGTACTCCGTCTGCAGCCTTGCACTCAGTCCTGCTATCAGCCCTATGGGGTGGGTGCGGTGAGCCCCACTTTAGAGATGAGGACACGAGGGTTAGAAAGAATCAGCACCATATCCATGACTACGTGGTTGGCACGGAGGGAGGCCAGGGTAGGCGGGGCGGCTGAGGGGAGCCTGCATCTCAGGCCCCAGGCCTGCAGTCCGCAGGCGAGGAGGACGGAGTTGAGGGAAGCCCCTGAGATGCATGTGGGTGACGTTTTCCAGGCGCTGACGGCATGGACCTGGGCAAGAAGGTGAGCGTGCCCCGCGACATCATGCTGGAGGAGCTGTCCCACCTGAGCAACCGCGGCGCCCGGCTCTTCAAGATGCGCCAGCGACGCTCCGACAAGTACACGTTCGAGAACTTCCAGTACGAATCCAGGGCGCAGATCAATGTACGTAAAGCTTGGTCGTGGGGAGGGCACACGAATGGGCGCAGTTCCTCCTGGCGTGCGGGTTCCCAGGTTCCCAAGTAAGAGCTCTCCGCATGTTCTTCCCCTGAATGGTCCTGGGGGGACAGGAGAGTGCTGTGTGCGGCTGAGTGTGGGGTTTGGCAGGGACATGGTGAGCTGTGGACTGAGCTGTGGACGTGGCACTGAAGCCTGCCTGTCCTGCCAGCAGCGGGGGAGGGTGGTGGTCTTATCAGGCTGGTTGGTGTGGGTGGGACACTCCCGGGCCCACAGCGCTCTGCAGAGCAGGGGGAGGAGCCGGGGAGCTGCGGACACACGGGTCCCCAAGCACTGACTCCGCATCATGTAGGGCGGGCTGTGCCTCCTAACCACAGAGCTATGTGGGGACAAAACTCCTTGGACAAAAGTTTTCCTAAATTAGAAGCTAGTAAACAATAAAGTAAGACCCGAAGCAGGGAGGCATGGGACAGACTGACATACCTCACCATGTGGGGTTGGGGGGACCAGAAGAGATAAACCAAAGAACTTATAGACCAGGGGTCGAACGACCCTTTCACAGGGGTCGCCTACGACCATAGGAAAACACATACATAATTACATATTGTTTTTGTGATGAATCACTATGCTTTAATTATGTTCAATTTGTCACAATGAAAATACATCCTGCATATCAGATATGTACATGACAATTCATAACAGTAGCAACATTACAGTGATGAAGTAGCAACGAAAATAATGTTATGGTTGGGGGTCCCCACAACATGAGGAACTGTATTAAAGGGTTGCGGCATTAAGTTGGTTGAGAACCACTGTTGTATACTTACTAAAGGCCCAGTGCATGAATTTGTGCATGGGTGAGGGCTGGGCCTATCGGGAGGAGGAGATGGTGGAGGGTTGGCCGACTGGCCGGACCGCCCCAATAGGTGGATGAGGGCCAGACCAGTGGGGGGAAGGGGCCACAGGCGATTGGCTGGCAGGTCCCACCCCCGATTGGGTTGGGGGGGTTGCCAATCAGGGCCAGTGGCCTGGAGTAGGGGCCATGGGTAATTGGCCAGCTGGCCCTGCCCCTAATCAGATGGGGGGGGGGGCAATCTGGGGTGAGGCCGGTCAGGGGGAGGGGCCACGAGGTTGGCCGGCCAGCCCCACCCCCTGATCAGGCCAGTTTGCTGGCCACAGTGGGCATCATAGCGACCGGTCGTTAAGGTCGTTATGGCCCTTCTCGTCGCTGGCTTTTTATATGTATAGATATGCATAGCCATGGACACGGGCCATAGGGTGGGGAAGATGTGGGGGGTGGTAGGGGTTGGGAGGAAGCGGGAAAAGCGGGGAGGAAATGGGAGACCTCTGTAATACTATCAACAACAAAAAATATGTTTAAAAGTGAAAAACAAATAAAGCGAGTAAACAAACACACTCCCTGGTGCTCAATGCCATTTGCTCAAACAGGAAGAATCATTTTAAAAATAGGAGCTGTAGCTGCAGAGTGGGGCTCCCTCCGCTGCTCAGGAACTGGCCACGGGGGGCCACACACCTGCTCCCACATGCAGAGCGGACACAGGACACGCATCCTCAACCAGAGGTGAAGACCCGCGGCTGGTACACAGGCCGTCTCCATGCACTGGCTCCGCGTCACACATAGGGGGCAGGAGGGAGATGGTGAAGGAGAGGAGCCTTCCAGGGGGAGCACAGCAGAAGCGTGGTTCGTGGCAATTAAAACTCTCCTCGATAAATCACTGCAGAGGATATTCAGCAAAACGACCCCATTTCACAGCTAAACTACCTCTGCCTTTAGTGACGAGGGGCTTGGCGAATCCCTAGCATCTTAAATCATGTTGGGGGAGGGGAACGTGCACCATAAAAAGTAATTCTGAAATAACACCAAGCTAAATACACTGGGATTCTGAATATGTGTTCATTTTGCTCAAAAAAGAACCTTTACTCTGTATTTGGCACACATTATAGAACACCTCAGGTGGGGCCATTAATTTATGGCCTTTCATTTTAGTAAATATTTGGCTTTTAGGACAAAGTAGTCTTTTATCCTCATATTTCTATAAAGGTAATTAAGTATTAAAATGTAAAACTGTACCTTGCCACGTCACCTTATAAGTAAATATAGAGATAAACAAGCATTAAAATATTTTCTGCTTATGTCACACCAAAACAAAGTCATAATTGGTCTTTATTTGATATGCTCATTCCTGAATTTTTCTTTCTAAATTTAAAAGATAATTTGACTTTATACACTCCTTATATAGATTGGCCTTTTTAAAAACATACATATTTCCCATATGTAAGTAAACACACTTTATTATAGAGATAAGGTCGAGCCATACTCTGAGGACATAACCAATTGCAATTCTACTTTCTCTGTTAAAATGCAAATTGGCTATTTTTTTAAAGTGCTTTATTATTGCCATAGAATAAATCCTGAGTTATAATAATAAAGAAATTCACCTAAAACTTAGAAGACAAACATCTTTGAAGCATTTTATTTTCTAGAAATCCCAAGTTCTTCCGTCTACACATTTATTCAACTTAAAGGGCAATTTCTTTTTGTTACACAGGACTATTGTTCAGATATCAGATTAAATTTCCCGACAAGGCATATTAGAGAATCTAATTAAATCCCAGCTATAAATAGAGTAGCAATGTGACAATGACGAAGCCCAGTGTTTGCCCAGGATGCTCTGTGTTCGGTTAGTAAAGACTTAAGAAGGAATCACAGTCACCTCATAGGGATGTGGTGACTGTGAATGAGCTGACTGATACAAAGCCCTTGGCACAGCGCCTGGCACGGTGAGGCTCAGAGCGCGGTGATGAAGTGGACTGTCATCCTGAGACAGACCTTGGGTTGACTTCAGGCAAAGCTCAACCAAGACCACGCAACCTAGCGACGCCCCGTGAAACAATGGAGCACCATGGTAGCTAAACCCCGAATGTGTGGAGGAGGCCCGCACAGTGACATTTCCTGTGGGCCTGTCTGATATTTCTGAGTTTTCAGCCAAGTTTGCTTTTGACCAATACAGCACAACCTGGCCATGCAGAATGGGAAACTGGACGGAAGCCCCTCAGAAGGGGGATCACAGCAAGCCCCCTTCACTCCTCCCAACACCCCGGACCCGAGGAGCCCCCCGAATCCAGAAAACATTGCACCAGGTAACTCGGCGCCTTACAGATAGAACCATAAGGTTGCTGTGCATTGAAATGTGTGGCTCAGGTCGCGTGGCTCCTTAGTAAATGGTATCAGAGTGGGACCGCTAGTCTCATTATGGTCAAAGCGGGCAAAGGCAGGTTTACATGAGTGAGTACAAGCAGCACAGAGCTTATCCTTGTGTTCTTATTTATTAATTATTATACTTTCCACGTGAAAAAGAACGGTAGGCCTACTCTTGTAGACTCACCCCACATCGGTGTGTGGGTCAGTCTGAGGTCAATGTAAAACGGAGACCTGGGGGGGCCTGCAGGGACCGCCAGTGGCCTCGTGTCTTTCAGGTGGCTCACTGTATTGGCTGGCAACCACCTGTTACGTTAAACATTAAGTCATTTGTCATTGTATGGACGCGCTTTTTGTATAAATCTGTAGAGTCCGTGGAGTGCTATGACATATATTTGTCTTCCTTAATGTCACAATAACTCCATGACACTTTACTACAGTCTGCACTTCACAAATTAAGACACGGAGGTTGCAAATGGCTATGTATCAATAGTGACTGATGAAGAATGACATCCGGGTCTGGTTCCAGATCTACCGTCACGGGACCATTATGTCTCTGTGTGAAGATAAACTGGGGGAAACACACAGAAATCACACACTGTGTTGAGTAGTGGGATTTTAAGAAAGTATGAAATTTTTAAATGTCCGGTCTCTGCACGCCTGACCTCTGGTCAACTGTAGGAGGAACAGGAAATAAGATGGGGGGATGGGGTGTGACAATGGAGCGCTGAATCCCACACCAAGGACAGACAGCAGAGGCGAGTCTGTCCCAGTGGCCACAGAGCAGTCATCTCACGCCCAGGCTTCCGCAGGGCCTGGTGGGTAAGGAGGGCAAGGGCGGGCCCAGGAGCACAGGGCAGGGGAGGGGGCGTGGGGGACCCGCTTCAGGCAAAGCCCAGGTCTGGAGCACGGACATGAGGACCATGCCAGGAGGCGAGGATGCCATGCTGAGGGGCTGAGATTTTCATCCTGGGAAGTGAGTGACATGGTCAAGTTTTCTGGTCGTAGGTCCCGGGGCAGCAGTGTGGAGGGTGCCCGGGAGGCGGTGGGAGCCAAGGGTGAGCGTGAAGGCTGCTGGGAAAGGCCAGGCAGCAGAGGGGCAGGGCCTGGCCAGGGCAGGAGTGAGGGAAATGCAGAGGACGAAGGGCATTTTCTAGAGCAGTTTCCCCAGGTTCCCTCTGCAGATCCCGTGCATGAGATGTGTAAGCCACCCCTGGGGTGACTGCAGCCAGGTCTCTGGCGGGGGGTGGGGGGGAAGCCCTCGACATTGGGTCCCTCCCGGCATTTGCAATCGGTGCTGAGGAAAACAGTCTGGGAGCCGCTATATTAGAACTCCTCCAGGAGCGCAGTTGGCATCATAGCGGCCTGTGGGAACGTGGCGGGTGGGGAGACTGCTCTGCCTTGGGCATCGAGGGTAGAGGGATGCCATGTGCTGAGAGAGGTTCTTCTGAAAACGTTCCATGCGGGGAAAAAACAGGGGGGCTAGAAAGGCCCTGAGGTCCCCGGGCTGGGAAGTACAGGAGGTGCTGGAACAGAAGGGGCCGGAGATCAACTCAAACCTTGGAGTCACCCCGTGAGAGCCAGGGTGGAGAGGAAACGCCCTGGGCAGGATGACGGGTACGAATGAAGAGCTTCCAGGGACAGCAGGAGAGGGTGGCGAGCCGAGTAAAGATGCCCACAGAAAGGGGCTCCTCTCAGCGGCTGGGAGCAGTCAGAGAGGATGCAATTACTGCACCGCACAGCTACCCCACGGTGGCTGATCAGCATAAAGGGAGGGCAGGCAGTTTGGCAGAGGAGACAGGGCGGTTAGTGACGGGAAAGAGCGTTGGGACCAAAAGCAGGAGGCTGCAGCGGGAGGTCTGGGTGCAGGGCCCGGGAGGCCTGGGTGCAGGTCCCAGGGAGGCCTGGGTGCAGGGCCCACGAGGCCTGGGTGCAGGGCCCGGGAGGCCTGGGTGCAGGGTCTGGGTGCAGGGCCCGGGAGGTCTGGGTGCAGGCCTTGGCTGGGGAGGAGAGACCTGCAGGAAGGACACGGCAGGTACTGGTTGTGGATGGAGAGTGCGGGGCTCTGCCATGAGGGCTTGGAGCGGGCCACTCAGTGCATGTGCCAGCGGTTTAGTCTATGCAGAATTGCTGCGAGGGTTGAGTGGCGCTCACAGACGTGCCTGCTCCTGCGAGAGGAGTGGGCGAGGTAAGACCAGCCGCAGAGAGTCAGGGACAACGTCGAATGGGCCTGGGAAGACCAGGCCTCCCCCAGGGGGTGCAGACACCGCCCTCCCCACGCTGAAGCCTGCGCAGCTCAGTCAGCACGTGAGGAGACAAACTCCCACATCTCTCCCAACACGTCAGCCAGGACGGACACTGTCCACCGCTGCTTCCTGAGCCCAGACCGCAGCCCACACTCGATGGGTATTTTCAAATCAATCCCGAACGGTGATAGCGGAGCCCAGTACAAAAAGGCAGGGGCCCAATTTTAACAATCAAAGGCGTAGCTACATGGACAAGTACACCCTGAGGTGGGGGATCCTCAGAAAATCCCTTTAGGGGGCGTAGCCTGTCCACCACGCGAGGCTGCTCATTCCGAGTGGGGGGGACGGCCCTCCTTCAGGGGTGACTGCATGCCACGCAGGGGCGATGGCGGGGGGCGTCCCGCCCAGGCTCTGCGCTCACTCCTCACTGTGTTTCCCCGAAGGCTACTCCGGGCCCCTGAAGGAGGTCCCCCCGGAAAGATTCAACACCACAGCCGTCCCCAGGTCCTACCAGTCGCCGTGGGAGCAGGCGGTCAGCGACCATCCAGAGCTCCTCGAGGCGCTGTACCCCAGGCTGCTCACGCCCGAAGGCAGGGCAGAGCTGCCCGATTACCGCAGCTTCAACAGGTACTCCCGGGGCTCGGGGCGTGGGGCGACCTGGGGTGGCCGGGCTCTGTGCCCTGCAGGGTCTGGGAAATCTTCTGATAGAAACCCCAAAGCCTGGGGGTGCTGGGAGGAGGGTCCAGGGACTCCAGGCTTCTGTTGGGACTCTGAAGGCTAGCCGTTGGAATGCAGGTGAATGTGGGCTGCCAGTGCTCATGAAAATAAATGCTTGTGCCCACCCACACAGTCCTGGATTGGATAGTGGTCACCTCCTTTAATCAAACTGCCGGCCACGGACCAAGACGGCACCACCGAGAGGCTCAAATGATCTCTACAATGTTCACACACGATGCTCACCAGTCAACTCAAAGTGACCAGGCCTGACCATGAGACAAGACCAAGTGACTACAAGTGAAGAGAAAAACAATAAACAACCCAGACAGACACACAAGATTGGAATATCTGACACTCACTTTAAAGTAATTGTGAGGATCATGTTCAAGAGAAGAGACGACAAAAATGAATAATCCCAGCCCATTGGGAATCGTTTCCAAAAAGGGTCAAATGGAAACTCTACAAAAAACAGAAATACGGCAACTGAAATTGAGAAGTCAAAGTGCTAAGTCACTGGACCCATATAAAATCTGCAGGAAATACAGAGGCCAGAGAAATGCCAACACTGAGAGAGAGAGAAGGAGAGAGAGAGAGAGAGAAATCAGTACAGGTCGGTCTGTGGGACACAGAACCCAGTGTCTTCAGTAATAAATTGCAGGGAAGGATGAGAGGGACATCTGTGGCATAAAAAGGATTTGAAAGAGAGAATTCTGAAAGATAGGCAAAACTAAACCACTGTACTGAGACACGCACCCTTGGGTTATTACCATAGAAAAGGTGTTTTTTGTTGTTGTTTGTTTTCTTAATATATTTGTATTGATTCCGGAGAGAAAAGGAGATGGGAAAGAGAGATAGAAACATCAATGAGGAGAATCACTGATCGGCTGCCTCCTGCATGCCCCCTCTTGGGGATTCAACCTGCAACCTGGGCACGTGCCCTTGATTTGAGTCGAACCTGGGACCCTTCAGACCACAGGCCTACGCTTTATCCACTGAGCCACACCAGCTAGGGCACCATAGAAAGAAGGTTTTTAAAAACATTTTATAAGTTGCTATTGTCATGAAAGTCAAAACACCGCCGAGCCCCGGGCAGGCGAGGGCTGATTGGCAGGACACGCGATGCCCCTGTAGGGACTCTGCACGGCGCCGGTGGCAAGGCGGCTCGCTTTAGAATCAGCTTCTGTGCCTGTCTGTGAGGTTTCTGTACAAGGGCACCATAGAAAGCAAGTTTTTAAAAACATTTTATAAGTTGCTATTGTCATGAAAGTCAAAACACCGCCGAGCCCCGGGCAGGCGAGGGCTGATTGGCAGGACACGCGATGCCCCTGTAGGGACTCTGCACGGCGCCGGTGGCAAGGCGGCTCGCTTTAGAATCAGCTTCTGTGCCTGTCTGTGAGGTTTCTGTACTCGTGTTCATTCAGTGATGGAAATGTTTTTTAAAAGTAAAGGAACGGATTTCATGGCAGACTGAACAGAGCAGGAGGGACTCAGAGACGGACGTGGACAGTGTGCAAAGTGGAGCAGAGGAGACGACGGGTTCCCACTGCAGGGGAAGAGCAGGGGACACACTTGGCAGTGAAGGTGCCAGCAAATGGGTGTGATTAGAGTCTTGGGAGGGAATAAGAGAATAAGGCAGAAGCCATCGCTGAAGAATTCATGGCCCAGGAATTTTCAAAATTGACAAAACACATCAGGCCTCAGATTCAAGAAGTACTATGTGACCCAGTCAACCATGTGGTGGCAACCACGCAGAGGCACAGGGCTGCCAATCAGTGGAAAACCAAAGACCATGGGAACATCTTAAAGCTAATGGAATAACGCCTTTAAAATTATGAAATAAACTAGTGGCCCGTTGCACAAAGATTTGCGCAATAGGCCTTCCTTCCCCTGGCTGCCGGCACCAGTTTTCCTCCGGCACCCGGGACCCAGGCTGTTGGTCCAGCCGCAGCAGCGAGGCTTGGCTTCTCTGCTCCGGCTGCTCCCAGCCCCTCCTTTTTTTCCCCAGCGCCTCCAGCGGAGCCCAGGGTGGACTGGAAGCCTGGGTTGCCCCCGGTGACCCAGGCCCTCAGCCCCTCCTTGAGCGGAGCCCAGGGCAGGTGGGAGCAACCCAAGCCTCCTGCTCGCTCCAGCTCCATGGCCGCCGCCATCTTCAGTCATCTTCAGTCTTCGCTCCGTGCCTGTGTATGCAAATTAACTACATCTTTGTTGGGTTAATTTGCATAGTCACTCTGATTGGCTGGTGGGTGTAGCGGAGTGGCGAGGTGATGGTTAATTTGCATGTTTCTCTTTTATTAGTGTAGCTAATGACCTGCCTATAAGTCTATATCCAGTAACAATACTCTTGAAAGGTAAAAGTTAAAATAAAAACATACAGGCATGTTTCAGACAAAGAAGCTGTTTTAATAAACAAAAGGTATAACTATATAAAAGGAAAAATAAAACTGTCCTTATTCACAAATGACATGATTATGTCCCCAGGAAATTCAAAAGGAGCTCCAGGTTAGTAATTAGAATGAGTAAATTTAGTAAGATCACAGAGTACAAGGTGAACATAAAAATTAATGACATTTTTATATACCAGCAACAAATAACTACCAAATAAATAATATTCATCAAGTTTTACCTTATGATTTACATACTTTAAAATGTATCTTATACTTCAATAAATTTTTATATTAAAAATATCACATAGGCAAAATAATCTCAATAGTTATCTGGGTCTTTAGAAATTGAATGTGATTAAAGCCATCCATTTAATTAGTCCAGAACACATTGTAATCATTTAAAAAAGGTTAAAATAATTTCTCGGTACAAGTTGGGTTAATATCTTTCCTGCAGTAGGTTATTTAATGGTATTTATTTTACTGAACTCAGGTTATGAGAAAATAATCTGACCAGAAAATTTAGTTCCTCTTACAACTATTATACTTTTTTTTAAAAAAAAAAGCTATACAAAGCAGATTAGGAAACACTGCTTTTATTTTATTTACTTATTTTTGCTGTTGTTCTTAATCATCACCTAAGGATATTTTTCCATTGATATTTAGACAGAATGGAAGGGATGGGGGGATAGGGGCGAGGGGAGAAAAAGAGAGAGAGAGAGAGAGAGAGAGAGAGAGAAACATTGATGTGAGAGAGGCACATCTATTGGTTGCTTCCCACACACACCCTGGCCAGGGATTGAGCCTGCAACCGAGGTACATGCTCTTGACCAGAATTAAACCTAGGATCCTTCAGTCTGTAGGCTGATGCTCTATCCATTGAGGCAAATCAGCTAGGGCCCATTATACATTTTAAAAAGAAGACATAATAAGAAGTACATTTTTCCTTCTTTTTCTTAAATAATTCAACATTATTATATTGACTTTATTCTAATACTTTTTTTTTTCATTTTTGCTAAAACAAATGAGAGAAAGAGAGAGAGGTTTCCAAATATTCCCAGAGTCCTTTGCGAAGAGTAACATAATATTATTTGGTGGCCCCACTTTATTATACATAATCACTAGCTATTGTCAGTGATGTGTGGAAGGTGAGATGCAGTCCTGTAGCACTCAGCAGGGTAGGACCGATGAGAAATGCTCCCTACTCTAAGCATGACTTCAAAGTAGCCCACAGTTAGCACAACTGTGCATCTTTGCACTCATTTTGAATATACCACTTAAATATTATGCTACGAGAGGCCCGGTGCACGAAATTTGTACATGGGTAGGGTCCCTAGGCCTGGCTGGTGATCAGGGCCGATTGGGGCTTTCCAGTCTGGCTGCCGGCCAGGGCCTCCCTTCATTTCGTGCCACACTCTAGTGGTCAGTGCAAGTCATAGTGAGCAATGGAACTCCTGGTCTCCTGGTTGAACTCCTGTGGGGACACTTTGCATATTAGCCTTTTATATATATAGATATTTAAATAACACTATATTAAAGCCATGCAAGATGTGAGGAAAATTGAACTAGAAGGGTTCCAGCTCTGCTTCAAAAAGCCGTGTGACGATGCCGTTTAATCCTCGTTGTTTTAATTTCCTCATCTGTAAAAAATGTCCATGATTGCCCTAGCTGGTTTGGCTCAGTGGATAGAGTGTTGGCCTGTAGACTGAAGCGTTCCAGGTTTGATTCCAGCCAAGGACACATGCCTGGGTTGCAGGCTCGATCCCCAGTAGGGGGTGTGCAGGAGGCAGGCGATCGATGATTCGTTTTCATCATTGATGTTTCTGTCTCTCTCTCCCTCTCTGAAATCAGTAAAAATATATTTTAAAAAAATGTCTATGATTGCCTGGCTGGCATGGCTCAGTGGTTGAGAGTCGACCTATGAACCAGGAGGTCATGGTTTGATTCCTGGTCAGGGCACATGTCCGGGTTGTGGGCTTGATCCCCAGTGTGGGGCGTGTAGAAGGCAGCCCATCAATGATTCTCTCTCATCATTGATATTTCTATCTCTCCCTCTCCCTTCCTCTCTGAAGTCAATAAAAATATTTTTTAAAATGTCTATGTTTATATGAGTAAGTACCTTTAAATATGTCATATACATTAGGTATTTAGTTGAATAACTTATATTTCTATACAATCATTTTACAAGATTCTTTACTTTATAGAATAATCAGTAATTGTTAGGGGTGTAAGTCTAGCACTATTAATTAGTACAAATGTAATCCCATTACTGATCAAAGTAAATAAGAAAGCATCTAGTAACTGTGAATCTGAGTGGAACAAGCTTCTTTCTCCATAGATGACCAAGTGTAAAATCACATTATGTCGAATCTATGTTTGAAGAAATGTTGCGGGAATTATAGGGATGCAGGGTTATCTCTGGTAGACTAGTCCAAATCTTTTAGTGGAAAATTTTGTTTCACTATCTTTGACTAAAACTTGAAACTATTTCCAGAGACCTTAAATTTCCTACAAGCAGTCTCACTTTGAATGTTTACCATCTCTGTGAAAGGACTTTTCTACTTTGTGTGCCTAGAGCAATAAAAATTCAAGCAAACAGGATACAGCCTCCATGGTGCCAAAGAAAAGAAAAGGCTGCCTTTCAAACAGCAGCTCTCACTGGGCCAGAGGTAGGAGGTGGAAGACCAGGGATGGAGCGGAAAGGAATGTTTTCATTTACAAGAGAAGAAAATGACCCACAAACTGGGAGGGAAAAACAACACAGAACTGGACAAAAAGGGAAAAAGTCATACACTTAGTACCAAACCCAGATATTGGATTTCAGTGGCTGGGGAACACTTCTTCTTCTATTTAATGCAGGAAATAAAATAAATGGTAAAATTTATATCTGGAATTCATAAACATAAGATTAATTGACCAGATTCAGCCTAAATCTAGAAGTGAAGTCCAGCATCTTGTATCCAGTGGAAACCATATATTCTTAAACTCCCAGGATGGATGTGTGTAAGTTTGGCTGCCTGTCATCACAAAAACCAAACCCAGAGGCCAGAGAAAAAGGAGACAGGTTTATTTAAGTGCCGGTTACCTGAGAAGATGGGGATTCTCTTGTCCAGAGCCCATCTCAACACCACAGTGCAGGCAGAGGCTTTTATAAGGAGGGAGAAGGAACGCAGGACAAAGAAATCAAGGGAAAGGGTTGAAAAGTTCTCTGCATGCAGATCAGCACAGTCCACTCTGATAAAGATCTTGAAACTGGTCAAGTGATGGGCTGGTGTTTGTCATCCTGGTTCTACCTTATATCGTGGTCAGCAATTCTCCTAGAGCTACGATGACTAAAGGTCAGAGTGTGCAGCTTCTGAAGTTAGTTCCTAGGACTCTTATACACACACTAGAGGCCTGGTGCACGAAATTTGTACATGGGGGTGGGGGTGTTCCTCAGCCCAGCCTGCACCCTCTCTAATCTGGGACCCCTCGGGAAATGTCTGACTGCCGGTTTAGGCCCGATCCCTGTGGACATCCCTCTTGCAATCCAGGACCACTGGCTCCTAACTTCTCACCTGCCTGCCTGCCTGATCACCCCTAACTGCCTCTGCTTGCCGGCCTCATGCCCCTAACTGCTCTCCCCTGCAGGCCTGATCACCCCTAACTGCCCTCCCCTGCAGGCCTGATCACCCCCTAACTGCTCTGCCCTGCCGGCCTGATTGCCCATAACCACCTCTGTCTCGACCCCTGCCACCGTGGCTTTGTCCGGAAGGATGTCCGGAAGATGTCCGGTCTAATTAGCATATTACCCTTTTATTAGTATAGAATAGATGCTGTTTATCTACAAGCTACATATCAGTCAGAGTCAGCATTTGCAGAAACAACGTCGAAAGAATGGTGGGGGGTGGTTACAATCCCCAGTTACATGAGCAGCCCATGCAGTTGTGTGACCCCGACTGGAAGGGCCATGCTTGCCATGATGTTTTGCTCTGTTTCAATAATCTTAATGTTGTTGTTGTTGATCCTCACCCGAGGATATTTTTCAGTTGATTTTTAGAGAGAGCGGAAGGAAGGGAGGGAGAGGGAGAGAGAAAGAGAACATTGATGTGAGAGATCTACCTGCTGCCTCCCACACACACCCCGATGGGGGCTGGGAACAAACCTGCAATCTAGGTACACACCCTTGACTGGGACTCGAACCTGAGATCCTTTGGTCTGAAGGCCGATGCTCTAACCACTGAGCAATGCTGGCCAGGGTGATAGTCTTAACAATTATTAAGAATGGCCCCCCAGTTTTTATTTTGTACTGGGCCCTACAAATTTCAAAACTGGTCCTGATGCTGGGCTCTGAACTTTACAAGTGTTTCATTTTACCCTCAGCAACTCTGTATTCAGGATATTCTTCCCTTAGGCCCGTGGTCGGCAAACTACGGCTCGCAAGCCACATGCGGCTCTTTGGCCCCTTGAATGTGGCTCTTCCTAAGCCTTAGGAGTACCCTAATTAAGTTAATAACAATGTACCTACCTATATAGTTTAAGTTTAAAGAATTTGGCTCTCAAAAGAAATTTTAATCATTGTACTGTTGATATTTGGCTCTGTTGACTAATGAGTTTGCCGACCACTGCCTTAGACTAACTATCATATTCCACGATGTGTTGTTCTTTTCCTCATGTCTCACTCTAAACTTCCCTGTGGACTCATTGAAGTTAATAATAATACCGCCTTTTCATCTGTGAGTTCCACGCACACAGCAGGGTAGATATCTTAAGCAATCACTTCTTTCTTGTATGAATAAATGAATGAGTCAGCAAATGAACAAACTATTTCTTTACAAGGGTACATCTCTAAAATGATAAGATACTGTCTTATCATTTGGGCACCTTAGACATCCAAGAATAAGAGGCTTTGCTTATGCACAGAATGAAATGTGAGTGGTAAAGACTCTCCAATTCGTTAAATCAAATGACCAGATGTGGGACGTGACCAGGTCGCGGCATCAGGAATGTGACAGCCACATGGCTGGACATCAGTCAGACACGGCCCCCGTGGGTGGATGTTCCTGCACGCGCTGCATTTAGAAACTGACCCCTAAAGACCCAACCCTCCTTACAGCATCTCTTGAGGGTGTGGCGTGGGCTAGTGACTGGACAAGCAGGCTTCTGGGGGCCTGGGTTGAAGTCCCGAGTCTACAACTTCACAGGTGTGTGGGGGGCTCTGAGCAAGTCATGTGATAGAGCGTTCCTCCATGTCACCCCAGACATAGGCATGTAAATAGGACCAGCTCCTAAGGTTGTTGTGAGGGTCTATGAGACAATCCGTCAAGCCGTGGCACTGGGCACCACACAGGAACTGGTTAGATGCTGACACTCAGGACACGCCCTGGTGTCTCAATTAGCACCTGCACTTCAACAGGGGCCCACGGTGAGCAGCACTTCAGACAGCGGCCGGTGCACGGTGCCCCGTCCTGCTGTCATCGCTAGTTGTCCTTCTGAGGTTCCATGCTCAGGGGCACCTTCATGAGGACCCAGATCCTGGTTCAATGCTAAGAGTAACGCCGACCCAGGCCCTCTCGTGAGCCCTGGGTTATGGATACGGACCATCAATGCTGCAGTAATTGGCCAAGGAGCGTGAGCTGGGCTAGTCGCTGGGAAGTTAGGACTCACAGGCCATAGGACCCATGCAGGTGGAATGGAGACGGGGAG